GGGGGGGGGGGACTGTAGAGCACAGCAGGGTGATGGGAAGAGACGGCGGCTGCAGGGGACAAAACAGTCCAAAGGGGAGCGAGCAGAGCCTCAAAGGCTCCAGATGTTCCACAGCTGGAGCAGCCACAGAAATCCAAACTAAACCCAATCCGAGCTAACGGCTCATCCCTCTGTCCACAGGATGAGATGTTACCGTCCCACCTTCCAGTTTCTCCAGTAACGTTTAAAGGAAATGAGTTATATCAGTTTAGAACTGACTTATAAAGCTGAGAGAATAGAGACCCGATTCATCTGATTCAGACTGAGCTGGAGTTAAAGAACCGAAACCCAGAAGACAGGAGGAACAAAGGAACTGAGAGGTTGAAACCAAGAGGTAGGAACCAAAAGATAGGATCCAAGATCTAGGAAGCAACACACAGAGACTAAGATGTATGACCATGAAGCAGCGACAAGTAACAAGTTGAAACGATGAAATTAAACTGAACATAGAAGTAAATAAGAAGTAAACTGTAGAAGAAGAGTTCAGATCACGTTGCAGAAGAAGAAGCGAGTGGAGGACTCAGCAGTGTCTTTTTGTGGTGGTCCTGGTTATGTTTAGTGGATGGGTTCATGAATCCCTCATGTAAAAGAACATTGAACCTTTTTAAAAGCTGTGGAACAGTTTTAATCCTGGACAGTATTTTAGCGTGTTGATGTCTGAGAGCCCAAACAAAGCGTGAAGCTGCCCAGAGCCTGGGGGAGGTTTAGGGCTTCTGCATCGTTTTACCCGGTCGTTTCTGTCCTTGTGCAGCTGAAAGTCGGTCCGTTTGGGCTCTGAGAGTCAATCCTGTTCAGGGTTCTGCCCCAAACCTGCTGCTGCTCACCCTGAAGGGAGCATCTGCAGGCCCAGTCCATCAGAGTGTTCCAGTGAAGAGGTCCTTCCTTCTTATGGAGTTGACTTAAGTTAGGGTTGAATTAGGGTTGAGTTAAGTTAAGCTAGGGTTAAGTTAGGGTTGAGTTAAGTTAAGTTAGGGTTAAGTTAAGTTAGGGTTAAGTTGAGTTAGGGTTGAGTTAAGTTAAGTTAGGGTTAAGTTAAGTTAAGGTTTAGTTAAGTTAAGTTAAGTTAGGGTTGAGTTAAGTTTGGGTTAAGATAGGGTTGAGTTAAGTCAAGTTAGGGTTGAGTTAGGGTTAAGTCAATTTAGGGTTAGGTTTAGTTAGGGTTGATTAGGGTTAAGTCAAGATTGAGTTGAGTTAAGTTAAATTAGGGTTACGTTCAGTTAGGGTTAAGTTAGCGTTGAGTTAAGTTAAGTTAGGGTTTAGTTGACTTAAGTTAGAGTTAAGTTCAGTTAGGGTTAAGTTAGAGTTAAGTTATGGTTGAGTTAAGTGAAGTTAAGTTAGTGTAAAGTTAAGTTAAGGTTGAGTTAGGTTAGGGTTGAGTTAAGTTAAGTTAGGATTAAGTTAAGTTAAGTTAGTCCTTATGGGGACTTGGGCCTCCTTAGAGCTCCTGCTTCTACCCTCAGGACGTTAGAGGGCTGTGTGCTGGTAGAGAGCTCAGAGATAAATGTAGCCGAGCTGATGATGGGGAGGAAAGTGGAGAAAAGTGAGTGCAAAGGAGCTGCTGGAGGTGAGAAGTGGAGCTATTTTCGCAGCGAAGCTCCGCCTGGAGCAGCAGCTGCTCAGAGCTGATGGCGCTCCGCATTTAGAGCCGCCGCTAACCCCGTCTCCCCCCCCCTCTCCCCAGTGCCCATCCCGGCCAAGCTGAACGGCTCGGCCCTGTCGGCGCTGTCCATGGGGAAGGAGGGGCTGGGCATGGGCGCCGTGTCCAACCCGGCCGAGGTCTTCTGCTCCGTCCCGGGACGCCTGTCGCTGCTCAGCTCCAACTCCAAGTACAAGGTGACGGTGGGGGAGGTGCAGCGGCGCCTGTCGCCCCCCGAGTGCCTGAACGCCTCCCTGCTGGGCGGAGTGCTGCGCAGGTGAGTCCAGCCAGGTGGTGGTGGTTGTGGTGGTGGGGGGGGGGTAATCTGGGGTTTAAAGATCTGAGCCCGGGAGTGACACTCAGAACCAGAATGAGTTCTCAATCATTTAAAACTGTGAAATATGAGCTGTGAACACGCAGTGATGCTCTGAAGAAGAACAGATTTCCATCAGATGATTTAAAAAAGAACAAAACAGGCTGTGGATCAGTGGAGAGAAAAGACCTCAACCCAACCGTTTAGATACAAAAAAACAGAGTGGGAGGAAAACAGGAATCAGAATTAAAACAGTTAACCAGAAAACAGCTAAATATACAAAAAAAGAAACAATATAGAAAAAAACAGTAAAACAAAAATAAACAGAATTTGAATTATACAAACAAAAAATAAACAGAAAAACAAATAAATTCTAAAACAAAAAACAACAAAATTCAGAAAATAAACAAAAATCATAAATAAACAGAAAAAACAAAATAAACAGAAAATAAAAACAGAAAACATAATAAAAAAAGAAAAAGAAAACAACAATGAATGAAAAACTAAATTAAATAGAATATAAACAGAAAACATCATCAAATTATCAGAAATAATCAGAAAAACAAAAAAATTAAGCAAACAAAATAAACGGAAAATAAAAATAAGCAAAACGAAAGTAAGCAGAAAAACCAAACTAAACAAATAAAATTAAACAGAAAATTCAATTAAACAAAAAACAAAAATAAACAAATTCAATTCAACGGCAAATTAAATTAAACAGAAAACCAAAGAAAACAAAATTAAACAGAAAAGAAAAGTAAACAGATAAAGAACCTTTGTCCTCGTGAGACCAAAAGAAAAAGAAAACCTGTCAGCTCTCTGATCAGAGCAAAGCATCATGGGTAGTTTAAGGAAATCGTCCAGCTGAAGGAACCGTGCGGCTTCATTTTGATCACTTCAGTTTTAGTTTGTGACAAAGAGCTGCAGGTCAGTGAGGATGAATCAGTAACTCTGCTCTGAACTGAGCTCCCCTCCACAGGATGGGTGACATTATATAACCACACATACACCAAAGGCTCCGTTTGGGCCTTTAAAGCACTCAAATCTCACCTTTTATTACAGAAAGCTAAACGAGTGAGAACCAGTTCAGGGTTCACTCTAATAACCTGTAATTCACCTGAACTCGTCTGGGTGTTAGAAATTAAACAAAGAATAAAGATGAGGTGGATTTCAGAGGAGTTTCCTGCAACAACAGGAAGTGCCGACAGCAGCAGAAACTTTTTAAACCCCAAAATTAAAAACTCCAAATCTATTTCTTCCTCTGAAATGAACAAAAGAACAGATGGACTCTGGTTTGGATCAGAGCTGATTTCCAGGAAATGAAGCCTCATTCTGGAGGAGAACCAGCAGAACTCTGAGTTCTCTGGACTCTGGTTTGGATCAAATGCTCAGATGTTGAAATTAAATGAAACCTGCTCCAAACAGGACCACGGAGCTCATGATCCACATTTTTTTTCTTTTTTACAGTAAAATGACTGAAGCCTAAATAATCTGAGCCTGTTTGCGTCCACACGCTTTCCATCAGGCGCCTTCAGGCCTTAACAGTCTTCAGAGGAACATGGAGGACATTTAAAGCTTTTTTCCAAACAGAAGCTCTCTGCTTTCTGCCTGGGGGGGGGGAGCTGAGGAGCCGAACTGGGTCATGAGACTGAATCACAAGAGAAGCGATGTGGTTTAATGAAGCTCTGCCTCGGGACGGGAACCAGTCTGTGACTCCAGTCTGAGGCTCAAACACATAAGAGGGCCTGATTAGAGGATCTGAGGGGCTTTCTGTGTTGCCCAAAACTCCCACTTTACAGGAAAAAAACTAAACTAATGACTTATTTAAAATGCAATAACAAAATGTGGGAGAAAGACTGAAGGTTTCTGCAGGAGCTGGAAAAGAAATGTGGTCAGATTACAAATGTCAAAGTCAACTTTAGTTATACAGCACATTTAACAACAGCTGCATTATTATTATTATTATTAATATTACTATTATTGTTATTATTATTAATGATGATTATAATAATAATGATACATCTGCCCAAATCGCTGTTCATCAAATATTATAGGTGCAATAAACCAGTAAAAAGATCATTACCAGATATACAAACATGTAAAAAAAAAGTTGTATTGTATTTTTGTAATAATAATAATAATTTTAGTGATAGAGAATAGTAATAAAGTGAGGTTTCAACAACGGCTTACAAAGCGGACCTGTTCTGGTTCCGGTTCCTCAGGGCGAAGTCCAAGAACGGCGGCCGCTGTCTGCGGGAGCGTCTGGAGAAGATCGGCCTCAACCTGCCCGCCGGGCGCCGCAAGGCCGCCAACGTCACCCTGCTGACGTCGCTGGTGGAGGGTAGGCACGCACCCACAAACACACACACACACACGTGCACGGGGTGACCCGTATACAGCCCGACACGCACAGGCGTCCTCGCATGAGCTCACATGAATAAACAGGCTGCGCGGATGGCTGCAGGCACGCACACGCATGCACGTACGTGCACGCCGCAGAGCCGACCAGCCGTGAGGAAAACGTCCTCTGTTGGGGGGGGAGTGGGACTATGGACGCTGTGGGGAGGTCATGTGACCCGATGGGAGGTGATGTCACAGAGAGGGCGGTGCTCTGTGGACTGCACATGCTCAGAAAGCCCCCAAACCACTAGAACCCAGAACCAGACTTTTTCTGGGTCCTTTAAGTCTGTTTAACCACTAATCTGATGGCCTACTGCTAACACTAGCTGCTAACATTAACTGCTAATGCTGGCTGCTAACACTATCTGCAAATATTATCTGCTAATGCTAGCTGCTAACACTAGCTGCTGACACTAGCTGTTAATACTGGCTATTAATTTCAGCTGTTAATTCTAGCTGCTAATGTTAGCTAGTAATGCTAGCTGTTAATGGTAGATGTTAATGCTAGATGCTAATGTTAGATGCTAATGCTGGCTGCCCCTTTCTGAAGGTGAGGCCGTCCACCTGGCGAGGGACTTCGGCTACGTGTGTGAGACCGAATTTCCAGCCAGAGCAACAGCGGAGTACCTGTGCAGGCAGGGCGACCCGGACCAGCTGCCCACCCGCCGCAGCATGCTGCTGGCCACAAAGTGAGTGGCTCTAAAGTTCTGAGGGTTCAGCTTCTGGGGTTCAGGTTCTGGGATTCTGGTTTTAGGGATTCAGGTACTGGCTCAGGTTCTGGTTTTAAGGGTTCATGTTCTGAAGGTTCTTTTCAGGTTTAGGTTTTGGGATTCAGGTTCTGGGGTTTGGGTTTTTAGGGTTCAGGTTCTGGGGATCTGAGGTTCCTGTCCCGTGCTGTCTGACCTCTGGTCCCCTCTCAGGGAGATCTGTAAGGAGTTCCTGGACCTGCTGTCCCAGGACCGGTCCCCGCTGGGCGGCGGCCGGCCGGCGCCCTGCCTGGAGGCCGGCGTGCAGGCCAGCCTGACCCACTTCAGTCTGCTGACCCACGGCTTCGGGGGGCCGGCCATCGGCGCCGCGCTGGCCGCCTTCCAGAGCTACCTGCTGGAGGCCCTCAAGCTGCTGGACAAGGCCCAGAACGGTGGGAAGGGCCTCCACGACAAGGACCTGAAGCTCCGCAAATAGGGGCGGGGCAGGGGGGGACTGACCTCTGACCTCAGGAAGCCCCTCCCACCGAGGGGCGGGGCTCACGATATCTGCCGCCCCACCCCGCATGGACCTCTCTTCTCCCTTCTGTTCAGGAGGCTTTTCTCTACTTCCTGTTTGTTCACTTCCTGTGTGTCCAACCTGATGACATCACACACACGACCTCTGACCCCGAGACCCACCACCAGTCCCTTTTAAAGGGACAGAGTCCTGGTCCTGGTGGGACCGCCCAGAACCGGACCGAAGCCTCAGAAGCCATATCGGCCACCAGCTCCACGCCGGACCGAGCCGCCCAGGCCGCACCTGGAGCAGGTGCTCATGGGAAATGGAGTCTGTCAGTGGGGAGAGGAGACGGAGGGCAGCTAACAGATCTGTTTTCTTTAGTTCCACGTGTTGGTAATTTAAACGAGTAACACAAATCATTTTGTACTTTGTGTCTGTTTATTATTAATGTTATTACTGTTGTTATTATTATTGTATTACAGCATAAATGTAATATATTATTAAAGAATTAGAGCTGATGGTGGATGTTAAGGAGTGTTTTTCAGGTATCTCAGAACCTTTTTACTTCCATTTTGATTATATTGTAAATTCTTGGATATTTCAAAAACTGTTACGATGGTTTTTTTGTTGACCTGCATAAAGTACAAAAACTCCAATTCAGCTTCATTTTACTGCATTTCCTCAGTGAATCTGGATCTTATGATGATTTTAGACGGTCCAGAACATCTAAAAGAAGCTAACAAGACTGGAGGCTGGACCAGTCCTGGTGTGCAGGAAGCAGCAGGGTTCAGAGGAGCCTCTGAACTTCCTCTGAAGGAGTTCTGGGGTTCAGTTTGGCTCTGAAGCCTTCATCAGATGGAACAAACTCTGATTCACAGGTTTCCCTTCAGCTCAACGTTACAAAATCTAACATTTTAAAGCTGGAATATCTAGAGCCCAGAGGATGAGCTCTGTCTGAGGGCAATGCTCCAGCAGAGCTAACTATGGGTTAGCTCACACTTGGGTTCAGTTCAACGCTGGCCTGCAGAGGTTCAGCCACAAAGGGATCAGGTCCAGCTGTCAGAGCTGGAAGTGAAGCAGCTGCTAAATAATTATCTGGGTTTATTTCCTGAGCTGTTATCTTTACCAGTAGTTAATGCTAACAGCTTGGCTGGGAAGGGCTCATGCTAGCTCATGCTAGCTGAAGCTTTTCGGGAGAAACTCTCCTCATTGGCTCCTTCATTTGAAACAAGTGTAAAAGTCTGTGTGATAACACCGATCAGGCTGTTATTTGTGTGAACTGTTAGCTCTGCGGCTCCACAAACAGCAGAGGCGGCGTGCGTTAGAGTGCACGTGCACGCCGGGTGCGTGCGCGTTGCCTCGGTGCTGCAGACAGGTGATTAATAAACATTAAACAACCCTCTGAAACACTCCGGAATCTGATGGGAAGAGCGGCATATGTTTGCCTGCAGGCGGCGAGAGGCGGCGAGCGGCCCGCTGAGCGTTGGAGACGGGGTGAGATGTGCATGGGGGGGGGGGGGGGGGAGGAAGGGATGGGTGGAGGAGGGGTGACGGAGGCTGAGGAGACGGGAGCAGACAGCAGGTAGAAAGGGGAGATGTTTGAGATGCTGAGCAGCGTTTATTCCCTGGAAAGCCGAGACTGTGTTGGGTCTTGTCCTGGTTAAACAGAGTGGAGTGGAGGGGAGGGGTGGAGGGGGTCACATGACTCCCAGGTACAGCAGCTGTGTGAGAACCGTGTTTTTACAGAGACATTTTTAGAAACAAAGACATAAAATTGACAGAAGCCTCCCACTGAGATGTGAAGCAGGAAGTTTAACGGAGCAGCATCGAATCCAACGACGGAACAAAGAGCCACAGAATCGAGCTGAGAATGTAAATCAGAGGTTAGCGGTAATTATTTCACGCTGTGCTGAGCTGCTGTGTGTTATTGCTCAAAGTGTAAGTGTGCGAGTGTGACACCTGGGCCACGTGCGCTCACAGAAGCCTTTTATCGAGTGGAATTAGGCGACTGGCGTCGACACCTGAGGAGCCGAGGCGTTCCTGAGGAGCCCGACCGAGGCTCCGGGGATTACACCTCGCTGCCGTCTGGCAGGATGCCGCATCACAAACAGCTCACGTCACTCACCAAACAAAGGAGAGAAAATTCACAGCAACCAACACGTTTACTCAGAAAAAGCCGAGCCGAGGCCTCCATTTCAGCCTGATGGGTCCGGATGGCTGTTAGTTACAGCCCTGTGGCCGGACCAGCACCCTCTGGCTCCACATGGATGGATACCAGCAGGGAAGCGCTTTAGCGGCTAGCTATAAGCTAGCATGATGCTAACGGCAGGGCCAGATGTGTGGGGGTGCATGCGGTCATGAGGGTTAGCGGTGGTGATCCCCTCCTTTTCCATGATTGAATGTTTGGCTGGTTGCCTTGGCGATTTCCTCCCCTTTCAGGGGGCAGCCATGATGGAATGTTTGGCTGGCTGGTTGCCGTGGTGAACATCTGTAACCTACGGATTCACCAGCTGCGGCTGGGCTGCCTAAACTATGCTAGCATGTCAACAGAGTTAAATCTATTCCCTTATTTCACTGGATGTGAATAAAACACTCATTCTGGCTTCCAGAAGTAACAGTTGTTAATTATAATACAATGATTGGGGCAGAAGCTGCTCTGGGCCTCCGGCTCAGGACAAAGACGAGTCTGGACCTCCACGGTGTCACTTTTTATTGGTAAGAGGTACAAAAGGGGCTGGCAGTCACTTGGTGTCACTTGGCGTCCACGGTCAGCTTCTCCATGTCGTGGATGCCTTCCTTGTCGATGATGCGGACGTTGAAGGAGTGCAGGTTGAGAATGAAGCGTCTGTTGAGCTGCAGGAGGTCAGAGAAGCAGTTAGAACCTGGAAAGAACCCACAGAGGAACCGACCCACAGAGGAACCCACACCCACCTCCTCGATGCACTTCTTCAGCAGGTCCACGGCCTCCTCTCGGGTCAGATCTGCAACACACAACAATTAGGGACCTGGTTCAGACCTGACTCAGACCTGGTCCAGACCCCCCCCCCCCAGGGACGGCGTGCCAGCAGACCTGGTTTGTAGTACCGGTCCAGGATGGACAGGGTGAGGAAGGCGCCGTAGCCGTGGGCGGCGAAGGGCGCCTTGGCCAGGGCCGACAGGTAGTCCATGTAGAAGAGGCCCGGCCCGTCGGCCTCGTCGTAGCCCGCCAGCAGCAGGTTGACGTGGTACGGCGTCTGCGGACCAGGGAGCAGCGTCAGACAGTTCACCCACAGCCGGACCCACTTCTCTGTGGGTCTGGGTCGGGCTGTGGTTTGGGTCTGGGTCAGGCTGCCACAGAACCGACATCAAAGAAGCTGGAAACATCTGGATGAAGTGAGTCCAGAACCAAACCAGGTCCAGACAGCAGACCGGCTCCCCTCAGGAAAAAAAAGGAACTATGGCAGCCCAAAACAAGCCGAAGGGAAACCGTCTCCCGAGTGGACCAGAAGGGATTACCCTGATCCTGAACCTAAAGAGATGTCCCTAACCGTAACCCTAACCCTGACCCTAACCCTGTTTCCTCAGAGCTGGGCGCACGGTGCCCTGGGCGCCTCCATCCAGGTCACAGCTCACCCAAAAGTAGCAAACTCCCGCTCTGACTTGGTGCAGAGCAGCATCAGCGCATTGGTGTGGGGGGGTCAGGGTGTCACTGTGACATCTGCTGGCAGTCAGCACCCCCATTGCTCTGCCCTGCCCCCCCCACGCCGCCGCCCCCCCCGGCCCCCGGACCCGCGCCACGCCCCCTTAAAAACTTCTGAGGCGTTCCCCCCCCCCTCCCCTCTTACATCGTACCGTCAGCGCCCCCAGCCTCCTCCTCCGACTCTCCAGCCTTCAAACGAGGCGTTTGTGGGGCCTAAAGGCGGCGCGCCGGCGCCCTGATTACAGGAGGAAGAGGTGCATTGTGGGCCGCGGCGTGACAGCAGGTGAGCGACACGCCTGCCTGTTTCCTGTTAGTTTGCCAGCAGCGCTGGGAGGATGGCGGCCTCCCTGCAGAGCCTCAGCGTGAGAACAGCAAACGGCGTCTGTTTCAGGGTGAAAACGTGGCCC